GACTGCCTCTGAAGGGCATCTGCTCGGAGACTCGTGGGCTTCCTGAGGCACCGGGGGAGCCCGGGCAGGACAGGCTGCTGGGCTCCGTGGGCCAGGGGCCCGATCCAGCAGGGCACAGCTTGTGTTCTTGAGCCACTCTGGGGCAGGCCTCAGAGGGACTGTTTTAGGGAACTGGCTCTTTGACAGCACCATCGGGTGAGAAATGGTTGAACTCGCGTACCTTTCGGACGGTCTCAACAAACACAACGGGTTTTTAACACATTCCAGTCGCTCACTGACAAGGAACCTGCCACCTGTCTCACCCGTAGCCTGCACTTGCATCGCCAGCCTATCTTCCCCTCCCTTTCCCACCTGACCCCAGTTGAAATCCAGTCCCAGTCCAGCCACTCTGTGCATCTCATCAAGGGAGCTGTGGCACCCGGAGCTTCGGCCTCTGAATGAAATGCGTTAGTTGGAACAGAAGACTCCTCCTGATTTTCAGCCCAAAGCCGGGAAATGAATGTCACCAGGAAACAAAGCTGCTGATTCCCTGTCTGAGGGAGATTGGTCTGTCGGGCTTGTCCGGGGGGCCGGGGGAGGCCCACCTCCCTCCTATGAGTGGCAGATTCTGGAGTGGGTGGGAGCTTGCCATCCACAGCCCCGCCTCCCAACCCTTGCAGTTCCTTCCTTGCCTTCGGTGCAACTGTCCATCCCCCTCCGGCCCGAGAGCCAGGGGCCCCTCCATGCCACCGCCATCACTGGCATTTGCTCGTTGCCTTGGCCTTCCCCCGGGTGCCCAAGCTGCATCCGAGCGCAAACGTTAGGAAAAGACATTCCTGGGGATTCTGGCCGACAAATACATTTGGGAAGGGAAACAGGTACTTGCTGACATTTTGGGCCGATCTGTGGCCTTTTTCATCCCGATGCCAGTCATACAATTTGATCATTTTCAGGTTTCCCCTTTTTACTGGGCACCTGCCTCTGTCCTGATTTCACTGTGAAAATTTTCAATCATTTGGATAAACTCGGCTTCTTTGCGCAGCTGAGCTCAGAAGAGCAAGCCCAGCCTCCCACTTCAAGAGGGGAAAAAACCAACCGGTGGAATTGATTACTGCCAGATGGGGTGATGTTTGCTAAGCTGGGTGGGCGGCAGGTCTGGCAAGGGCTGTCAGTCCTGAAGTCTCGGGATCCAGCTGGCCAGTTAGCTCCGCCTTGGGGGCAGCTTTTCAGGGGATGGAAAAGGGTGAGGAGGGGCCGGGCGGTTCTACTGACAAAGCTCCATTCATGCTTTGGCCCAGAACTGCTAACCCGTTTCTCCCTCACCTTTGCATGGAGTACCCAAGGCCAAGCGCACCACCAGCCTGGAGCCTCCACTAGGTGGCAGCAGTGGAATAGCTGCCTTTGTTGGTGGGGAGCTGGCAGTGCCTTCTGGTCTTGGGAACCCATCTTGCACAGAAAGGCCCACAGGGAAGCTGATGTATGAAGGCATCTGCGCAGTATTTACTGTACCTGACCTGGTTAAGCCACTGTCAGGCTCTAACTTCCTTGAATGTAAAGAAATCAACCGGGGGTGGGGGTGTTTCTTCTTTCTATTTATTTAGATTTACACCTTACCCATCCCGTAAGTGTTGCGGTGACAGTCGTGACGTAAACAAACAAACCAAAATGCTTAAATAAATAGCAGAACAGAAGTCATTAAAAAAGCCTGGGAAAATTAAGACAGGCTGAGCCTGTCTTGGAAAAAGAAGGTTCCTTCACATTCAGCTGGGGATTTCATGGACACGTCCATGAAGTTTTCCTGGCCACAAGAAGAACTTAGTTTGTTTTACTTCTCAGTCTAGTCCAGAGCTCTGGGATTGCATTTCAGGAAAGTCATCAGATCATCTTGCAGTTCCTTATGGCTGCAGCCAGCTGCAGAGAATATCGCGGTGGCTGCATCTGCCCAGAGGGAGCAAAGCAGCAGAAGAACGAGCCCCCCTTCCTCTGGTGCTCCCTGGAGTGCACGGTGGCCCCTTCTGCTCCCTGAAGCTTCCAGGTGCTTCTTGGGGACCACCCGTAATTTCTCTTCCAGAAGCGCCCGCGGCCAACAGCCACATAGCCTGAGGCCTCCACCAGATGGCAGCAATGGCTTTGGCATAGCTGACTTTTGGGCTGGCAGTTGGCCATGTCTTCTGCTCCGAGAACCCGCCATTCCCCAGAAGATCCGTGAGAAGCTATCCCATCCCTGGGGAGCTGAATGAGGAGGATCTATCAACAGGCTTACGCTGTATATCAGGTGCCCCTCTGCCACCATTTTGCTAGAGGGTCTGACAGCCAGTCTATTCGGTGTGGATCCTGAGAGGGGCTTCGCTGTAGATTTCAGTGTCAAGAATGGAGTGGAGATAGCAACCACATAGATGGGCTTTCACCTGATCTCTGGACCCTTTTCAGCAGATTTCATAAGTGCAGCATTCAGCCTAATCAAATTTCTCTCTCCCCCACCCCTTTTTTATTAGGTCTAATTAAGACTTCAGGACAATGCAAAAGCCTGCAGACATCTTGATGGGCTTGACTCCTCCTGAATTGAGGTGCTGGATTCCGTAATGGGTCATTTTGCCAGGGAAGGGACCACATGTCACCGCAAAAGCCAAAATGTGAGATTGGAATTAGGGGTGGTGGAGGAGGAGGCCCCCTCAGAGGAGCTGGTGGGCAGCCCTGAAGTGCCACCTCCCTCCCGATCCCACCCCTTGGTCCAAGTGGCGGAAATTAGTCAACCTAGGGTTCTGGTTTGGTTGGTTGGTTAGATTTACGTTCCGCTCTTCCTCCAGGAATTCAAGGGGGCTTACTTGAAAGTCTCCTTTCACTGTTGATAAATGAATTGGACCCTGTAAGGTGAATTGGGTTGTGGGAAGGAGTTAACGGCTCAAAACGGCTCTGTGGTTTTTCATAGATGAGGATGGAGTTGGATGTGGGTCTTCCTGCTCTCAGTCCAGTGCCTGAATCTACACTACACAACACTGGCCGGTCCCCATGGAAGGCAGGAGGACGGACTGCAGAGGCTACTGCAAAGCTCCCCTATGAGAAAGAAAGGATTCCTGGAGCTGAACTTGACCCTTGGTGGATCCACCCATGCTGTTGGCTCGACAAGACGGCAGGGATGGTTTGCCACATCCAGAGCTTTCAACGCCTTGATCAAGATCGCCTTCAGGGGAGTTCTCTCAGATGCTCAGAAGCTCTCTCAGAATGGTATATGCAGCGCATCTCCCCTTACCTTCTCAAGGACGGAGATACAGATGTTGTGTCTTGCCCCATGTGAGGGGTTTCACATGACCTCCACCCCCCCTGCTTTTACACAGTGTATATCCTGTGTGGTATTTTGGGTTACACTGACCACCAGGAGAAGGTGGACTGTACACACCATTCTGACAGAACCGCCATATACACCTTCCGGTAACACCACCGAGCACCAGGGCCGGGATAGCCCCTGAAGCCAAAGCCTTGTATATGGCCTCCTTAAATGTGAAGGTCTGTGGGTTGGAACCTCTCACAATAATTTCTGACTACCCATCTCTGAGAATCCCAACAAGGACAAATGGGTTACGTGGTGCCTCCTGGTGGTCAATATTTCGGTCAAGGAATTTCGATTGGTGGGGTCTAGGCAGAGGGCCTTTTCTGCTGTGGCTCCCGCCCTATGGAACATCTTGCCTCCCAAGGTCCGGGGTGCCCCCTCCCTCATGGCCTTCAGAAAACGGGTAAATCCTGGCTCTGCCAGAAGGCCTGGGGGCCGGATGGGAGCTCGCATCTGTGGAGATGGCTGGTGGGATGTTGGGTTTGGCTCCCCCCCCAGCATCTTGAAGGTTTTAGGGCTAAAATTTATAGGGGGGGGGTTAGGACATTTTTAATGTAAGTTTCTATTTTAATTATTTATGGATTTTAGCCATTGTTGGCGGGATTGGTGTTTTTTCCTTTTTGTTATTGTGAACCGCCCGTTGGGGGAGATGGGCGGCATACAAGTTTAACTATAAAAAAAATATATCAGATGATCTGAAGAGTAAAGTGGGGGGGTGATGGAGGGGCAGGGAAAGTCCTGAGAGAGGGTCTCCCCTGACAAACACGAAGGCTTCCGGGACTGCCCCCACCAGAGACCTCACGGCAGTCCTGAGGGCCTCCCTGGCAGAATCTCTCCACTGCCCCAAGGCTTGCCTGGTTCCCGGACCCTCCCTAGGAGGGCTGGCAAGGAGAGGGGAAGGCAGGAAGACTCCGATCACAGCTGCCAGGGAGGAATGACTCTTACTTGAGAGGAGCTCATACTGGAACTGGAACTGGAACGAGTCGGTTTCTGAGGTTCTAACAAGACTTTTCTTCTTTTGCGGCCGCCTGCCCTGAACAAGTGAGGACTGATCCTGCCGAACCACAGCCTCTGCTGCGCACTGGCATTGCAAGGCGTGTGTGCGTGGAGCCGTAGCTCCCTGTCGAGGCAAAACTAACTTGTGGCATCTGCAAGACTAGCTAATTTGGAATAGCAGAAATGTTGGTGAATTAGAGGTGACTCGAGGATGGTAAAGCTGTTGTCGTGAAGAATGGCTGACGTCTAAGGGTGGCTGGGGGGGGAGTTATGATTGGGTCCTACTGGGGATAAGAGCCGGGGGGGAGACGCTAAAAGCCCACATCACACATAGGATTTCCCGTTTTTTCCCCCGAATGCAGAACGTTGTGTGTGGTTTTTTATACTTCTGAAGCTTATTTTAAGATTTAAGTTTACAGTGCCTCCAGAACGATTCCTGGAAGACCTCAGGAGGTGGCCCTGCCTTGAGATACTCTGGTGGGCTCTGAAAAACTCAATTTCAGAGCAGAGCTGCAGGGGGAGGGGGAGGTTGGGGAGAGATCGCCTCTCTCTTTCCCTGAGCATCTGCTTTTGGGGTCTGCCCCCCCAGCATTGGGGTCCTGCATTGCCAGCAGATGCCCTGTGCGTTGGCGTGGGCAAAATCACGCCCTTCCTTGGTGCTGAGGGCCGACCAAGAACCAGAGGAAACCACGGAAGACATATCAGGAGCCCGGAGGCACTTTATTTGGACGGCGGGTGACATTTCGTAGGAGCATTGACTCGTCCCCCGCGCGAGACGTGGCATCTCTACTGGACGCTGTATACCTCCACTTCGCATAAGGACAAGTATTGCCTCCCGACTAAGTGGACACTGACGTAGCGGCCTTGCTGCTCGTTGCAGTAGATCGTGGTGACGGAGCCCGGGCTGGTGTTCAGGACAATCCCACAGCTGTGGAGCAAGGAGGGTCACGTTAGGAGAGCGAGTCCTTCTGGCCCCCTCCTGCTGATCACCCCAAGCGCGCCCCAAGAACACAGCCCCCCCTTCCGTCTTCAGGCGCAGTCCACCCTAACAGCGGTCCAGACCTCCCATCCTGGGCTCCCTCTGATGCTGTGCCTCCATTTTGTCTCTAATATGTCAATTAATTGGAAATATTAACCTAGTCTGATGAGCTATAGGGTGGATTCTACAGGGTATGGTTTAAAAAACAATCTTTGACTGCACAGTCAGGGGTGCCACGTTGATGTTTTCGACCATGCTTTGAAGAATGCTACGTCCTTTATCAATGGCCACCTGAATGTATCCAGCCGCTTTGCTCCCCGGCCTGCACGGCCGTCTTTGGTGGGCCTCTGGCTGATCCATTCATTGGAGTTGGGCAGCCAATAAATTCAAATGAATGAATGAATGAAATCCTTAGCGCCCAGGCTAATGAGAGAGGGGGATCCTGTGCAATTTTTTTACCCATAACTTAAAATGCCTCTTTTGCTCCTTTATACCACAGTTTTTCTAAGCGAAATATAATGATCAAGGCTTCCTTTATTTGCCATTGCCTTCTCCTGATTTATTGTTTTTAGTTCTGAGTCTAGCCCAAAACACTTGGATTTCTTCTTTTTGACATCTTTTCCACCTTGAGAACATCTTTTTTGAGGTGCAGTGACCGGGACTGTATGTAAAATATCTGAGCAGAGAAACCGCCTTTTCTACAACAGCCACATGTCCTTCTACGATACGCTTAACCCAGTTACTGAAGGAACCTATTTTCTAGATTTGCAACATAAATGTAAGCAGACACTAACCAATCAAGTGGAGTTCGTACAGCACATTAAGCCCCTGCAACTAATCGAGACCACACCTTAGCAAGGTTAGCAGGTGGCGTGAATGCAGCTGCAGGGTCTTCACCTGTCTCCTGGGGGCCAAGGAGGGACGGGGCCTCACGCCCTCCACACAAATGATGTCATGGCACCTTAGTCTCCAGGTCAAAGCTGGCATTTCATATCCAACAGCAGCACAAAATCTTTTATCTGGGGAACCCCCCACGCTGGCTGTGAATTCTGCAAGTGGGAAGCCCCAAACACCTGGAGGGCACAGCTGGGGATGACTAGCGTATAGCAACTTACAGAGGATTGGACTTTCCATGGTCTTCCAGAGTGTCTCCCAAGCGGATCTCAGCCTGATTGATTCTTTCACCACAGCAGTCCTCACGGTTTCCCACAATCACCACGGAGATTTTATAAGAGTCTCCCAGGTCCACATACCACCAGGGGTCTTTGTCATACTTGGTGTGGGTGCAGGAGCCGTGATACCAGTCTCCGTTGCAGTCCCCATCCACGGCTTTGTCTGCTGATCCAATGATCTGATGGCGGTGGATGGAGGACTGGTTGGCCGGCTGCCCTTTGGCCAAGTTCTTTGTCCCTGTACCTGCAGGAGAGAATGGAGGAAATCTTCAAGAAACAGGTGGATGGGGACCTGATTCCTCCAGGAAGAGGGGAATGTGCAAAGCCACAAGGCCACCCTTTTTGTGGGGCCTATGGGGTGAGTTTTGAAGACTGGGAAAGGGGTAGAGGGAACCAAGTTGAGTGCAGTGCTAAGTTTCTTTGCCGTTAGAATGGGGAAACCCCTCGGCCTCTTCTTTCTCCATCCCTACATTGCAGCAAATTGGGAGAAGAGACAAATAAGGCATTGTCACATTAGATTAAATGAGACCTATATCACATGGTCATTTACCATGTGCATTTAATTCCGACTGGTGAGATTCATCCCACTTTGGATAACATGATCTGTAAGCTATGTTGCTCTACTGGAGACCTTGTGGGTGATGGGTTCGTAGACACTCAATAGACTAGGGAGATCAAATCTCCTTTCTCCCTGAAGTTCTGTGGGCCACCTACACCACTTTCTCTCACAGTTTACAGAATATTGGCTTGGTCCTCTGCAGGTCTCTCCAGGAGACCTGGAGCCGTTGCCTCTTCCCAGTTATAAGATGTTGGAAGCAGGTGAGTGTGGGGTAGAAAAACAAAGAACACACAACAGTGAGAACTAAATACTCAAATACCCAGTTTGTTGAGAAACATACAAGACGAAGCCCCTGGTTCCAAGGAAGTCTCACAATGGCCGTGCAGCAGACCCAGGATGCACTGAGGTTCACTGGCTTCATGGCCCTTGTTCACTTCAAGCAAACCAGATATGGCCCCAAATACGTTGGAGGCTGTGGGTTGGCATCTGAAGGTGCTACAAGACTAAGAGGTTACTGTGGAAGGGAAGACCGGGAGAGGACCATTGGGACTTTGAGATGGCCCAGGACTACACCTCTCTCCACATGCACACACACACACACATATCTTTTGGTGGACCTTACCTTCAAGTAGGTGCCTGCAGCTCTGAGCTGCTGCAGGGCCTGCCAACAGCGTCACAGCCAGCAGCCACCCCCAGACAACGAGCATCATCCTGCAAGCGAGGAGCGGAGATATCAGGAAGGCAGGGGCAGTGCCATGGAGGGACTATGAGGATTTGGCTTCCCCTCCACAACATGCCTGTGCATCAGGACTGGCCATGGACCCAAAGGAGGGTGGGACAGAGAGAAACTCGGAGAGGCTTTCAGGTTCTGCCATTCTCTCTTACGTCAGTCAAGAGCATTCCTGGGATCCCTCTTCTGTCTGTTTCCTCACATGGCCTTCCTCACATGGCTGACATCAATGTTAATGTCCCATAAAAAAAATCAAGGTGGATTTATCTGGAGTTTCTTTCTCATGCTGTGCTCTTTCTCAGGGCCATGCAATAATTTCCACCCGTCCCCCCTTCAGCGGCTCGCTCAGGCCTTCCCCATTCTTGGGGTTAGCACTTTGTTCTTCCCACTCACCTTGCTTCGGTTTCTTGGGGATGAACCAAAGGGTTGGCTATCCTTCCTGGAAGGTGGGCAACCACAGCGTCTTTCCACCAAGAGGCCTCAGTGCTGAGTCCTGGACCTCCTTCTGGTCAGTCCTGGTTTTATCCCCTTCCTCACAGGCAGGACTAGCCTGACTCGGGAAGTCCAAGCCAATCAGAGAGAGGCTAACCCAAGGCTGGCCTTTGTCCCAGTTCAGGTGGAGCCTTAGGTTTGCTTTGCTGCCGGATCTATCACGAACTTATTAAACACAGCCTTCTCCCCTATATTCTCACCACCACGACCATCACCAGTCTCGAGCTGGTGTTGACTCTCTCCCCTAGCAGGAAATAGCACACAGCTTCTTAGCAGGAGAGTCTGTTTTCCCCATTCAACTCATGACAAGCCCTAAGCAAACACTAAAATCAGCATTAAATTTGACTGGGGACTAATCAAATCTAGATCTGAATCTGACCTAAAATGGGAGGCCCAACTCTGGGAAGATTTGAAATGCTCCATCGATTTACCACGCACACACGCGTGCTGAAATTCTGTGAAACTTCCGCATATTATGCATAGAATGGGGCCATGATTTCAATGGGGCGATTTGCTTAGCACTAAAAACAGATCAAAAGCAAACTCAAACCCTAAAGGACCTTGGACGCATCAACTAAAGCAGCCATCCATTGATTCTCCTTTATCCATGGAGATACTTATCTTCCCCGATCTGTCCTCCTCCCCCCCCCCCATAAAAAGAAAGACCTCTGTGGATACTGCCTCTGCTGGAAGCCCCAAGGGTGAGGAGCCCTGTTCTCCAACAGGTTCTGGTCTCCTCCAGGATGCCTGAGAAATCGGCCCTTCCCAGACAGGCCCCTTAAGGGGCATCCACCTCCCTGTCACCTGCAGGAGATGGCACAGCAAGCCACCCACTGCCCCAGAGCCTCAAAGGTACCAGGGACAAGGTCACCTCCAGCATCCTGGTCAGGACATCCCTGGGCTTGGGACGGGGGGAAGGTGACTGTAATTTGCACACACTGCAAGTCGCAAGGCACTGCCCTTGTTTGCTTAGTGTGGCTTTCCACAACTGAAGCCCAGAGCAGCAGCCTTCAGGAGGTAATGAGAGCAACGCCGCCTTTTCGCCTTGCCTAATTTGTCAGGGAAATGGCCTCGGGTTCTAGAATAAGGACACGGGGCCGCTGCTTTATAGGGGTCTCCAACCTTTTTGGCCAGGGCGGCACTTTTGCAATTTGGGGAACATCTTGCCTGGCCTCGTCAGGAAGTGGCTGGCACGGGGCCCAGCACCTTTACTAAATTCCAGTTGGAGCAACTGCTGTCTGCCCCCTACCCTCTGCCCACCAGGGCAGGGAGGTGATAGATGCCATAGAGGCGGGTTCCAGTCATGTATGTGGCAAGATCAAGGTTCGGGAGACGGTTCCAAAGAGGTCATGGAAACAGTGGGGTTCAGTTAGGAAGAAACAGAATTCAGCTGGATATCTGGCAGACTTAATGGCAAGAGCTGCTCAGCCATGGAGCAGATGGCCCTAGGAAAATTCTCCTTAGCTGGAAGGCTGGATGGCAGTCAGTTGGGAATGCTCTAATAGCGGATTCCTGCACTGAGCAGGGGTTGGGCTAGATCAGTGTTGTCCAAACCTGGCCACTTTAAGATGAGTGGACTTCAACTCAGATCAGTGTTGTCCAAACCTGGCCACTTTAAGATGAGTGGACTTCAACTCAGATCAGTGTTGTCCAAACCTGGCCACTTTAAGATGAGTGGACTTCAACTCAGATCAGTGTTGTCCAAACCTGGCCACTTTAAGATGAGTGGACTTCAACTCAGATCAGTGTTGTCCAAACCTGGCCACTTTAAGATGAGTGGACTTCAACTCCCAGAATTCTGGGAGTTGAAGTCCACTCATCTTAAAGTGGCCAGGTTTGGACAACACTGGGCTAGATGGTCTCAGGGTCACTTCCAATCCTTACATTCTATGATTCTATGGCTCTCTAACGTCCCTAATGCATTTTTTAAAAGTTTTTAACAAACCACAAATATTTTATTCACAATGGCAGGACTATTTTTCAGTATTACAGGAGAGAATGTTACTTTCCCTTAGTGGGATTATGTATTTAATGATTTCCACAGATATCACACAATTACTACACGTGGAAAAATATTTTCTAGTTTATTTTTTCAAGGAGATAGATTTCACCTTAAACCATCCTGCTCTATTAGTTAGGTTGAGTGTTCCGAAGCCAACTCAGCCATGATTTACATCGGTTTTGTTCCCCTACTAAAACAGAGAAGATTTATCTAATAGCCTTGGGCAAATTTCTTTTCAGCTTTCCACGGTCCTTATGTGAATAGAAGAAAGAAGTGTGAGCAGAAGTCAAGCTTCTGCGTTTGGCACTACGTTTTTGGCTCCGGCAACTTATTCAGGACCTAGCTGCAATGAATCCAGTAGATTTTACTCCTAAGAAATCAGTGTAGAATAGCAGCTTATCTCTGAAATTGCAAGATTTCCTTGTTGGAAGTATTTTGTGAATGTAGGATTGTGGAGCACATCAAAGTTCCTGATGTCTCTAATGCGTAAGTGGAAATAGTTAACTCATGAGACTGAGAGAAAAGCAGGAGGAAATAAAAAGCTTTCCAGTGTAAATGACGGGCAAGATTCTCAAGCTGTGATACGCTTTGTGTTTTTGCTTCAGAACTAGCCGGTGTAGATTCATAACCATTTGCAAGTTTCTCGCTGCGTCTGAAGCAAAAGAAGAGGACTGGAAGAACGTTTTGCCACCCTCCAGCTCACGACAGACGAAGAAGGGTTCTTGGCCTGAACACAGGAGGGCTTACAGCAGGAAGGGATGCAGGAAGACAGTCACGAAAATCAAAGAGGCTAGCAGAAGAGGAAATCCAGCAGAGATAAGGACTATCAGATCAGAAAGACTAGGCAACTCTGCAACCAAGAACGCCTTTTCAGACCACTGATAGAGAAACAGGCAATGAAAACCATGCTGACCAGGAGGCAAGGGTCTAGGGCAGCGTTTCTCAACCTCGGCCACTTTAAGATGGGTGGACGTCAACTCCCAGAATTCCCCAGCCAG